CATCCGTCCACCCACCCACCCATCTCCATACACATCCATCCATCCATCCCCACACTCCTGCTCTCTTTCTCTCTCTCTCTGTCCATCCACATGCCCATCCACCCACCCACCCCTGTTCTCTCTCTCCTCATCCCATCCCCTTGGTGTCTCAGCACCCACTTTCTCCTGCCCTGAACCCACTTGACGGCCCCAGTTCAGGGCTGGGGAAGGGGGGGTCATCCCAAGCCATGACCCCCGTGACCCACTCCTGACAGGAATTGCCTGTGCTCCCCTGCTCCGGCTCCAACATGGAGCCTCATTAGCGCTTCCTGTCAGGAAGCATGAAATATTGATGCTAATTCCTCCCTTCCCGGCTCCACTCCTTTGTCAGCTGATGGAGGGGGCCAGGCTGAGAACCTGCGGGCTGGACGTGAAGTGTGGGGCCAGGGTGGCGGGTGTTATCCAGAGTCCTCTGGGACGGCGTTGGCCAGGGTTGGGGGGGGCCGCGCAGGTGGCCCTGATGCAGGGTGTCTTTCTGCCCTCCTGCAGGGGGAGCTGCTGAGCCCGTGCCGGTGCGCCGGGTCCGTGCGCTGCACGCACCAGCCCTGCCTCATCCGCTGGATCAGCGAGAGGGGCTCGTGGAGCTGCGAGCTCTGCTACTTCAAGTACCAGGTCCTCGCCATCAGCACCAAGAACCCGCTGCAGGTGAGTCAGGGACCGGGGGGTGGGAGTCACACCCATGGACACGCAGAGGAGCCATGTGCTGGCCCTAGGTAGCACACGCATGTGCTTGCACATGGATCAGCTCACTTATGTGCACACATATGTGTCTGCTCGCCGCTGCATCCCCCATGTAGGCACAAGGCTCAGCCTGCTGTGTGTATGCAAACATGCATCGCCAGCCTATCCCCCACATATGTGTACCCACTTGGACCTGCTTGGCAAGGCATGCACAGACATCATGGCCCCCCACCTACATATACATGCGTGCACATGGCTCAGCGTGCCTGTATGCACTCGCATAGTTGTCATGTGCCCCCATGCAGGCCAGCCTACCCACATATAGGGCAACGTCCCCCACACGGGCACACAGACACATGTGCACGAGTCAGCATGCCATGCATGCCTGCTGATCAGCACATCTGCCCCAATGTGCAGGAGCTCACCCCTCCCTACCTGGATCACTGTGCTGCTTCTTGGGGAGGAGAGTGGGGCATGGCGGGGTTGGGGACAGGGGGCTGGATGCAGCCCAGGATGGCTGGGGCCTGAGCGCGGTGCCCTTTCCCCCGGCAGTGGCAGGCCATCTCCCTGACGGTCATCGAGAAGGTGCAGATCGCCGCCATCATCCTAGGCTCCCTCTTCCTCATCGCCAGCATTTCCTGGCTCGTCTGGTCCTCACTCAGCCCCTCGGCCAAGTGGCAGCGGCAGGACCTGCTCTTCCAGATCTGCTACGGCATGTACGGCTTCATGGACATTGTCTGCATAGGTGAGGCCCCAGCCCTCCTGTCCCACGGGTACTGGCTCCCCTGCTTCAGTCGCCTCTTCCCTGCCCTTAGCTGTTTAACCTCTCTGCTCTGGGGGGTGGGGGATTGTTTCATCATCTGTTCAGCACCTGGATCATCACAGCCCAGACATATAGCATCAGCAGTCAGGGCCCAGCTGAATCCTTCGACCTCCTTCATTGAAAGCTAAAAGACTTAAGGGTTAAAAGAGGCAGAAAGGAGCTGATACTTTTGGAATGACCTAGTTGGGGTTATCTAGTTGGAGATGGATGGGATGATCTAGCTGGGGATGATCTAGCTGGACATGGCTGGGATAACCTAGTTGGGGATGATCTAGTTGGAGATGCCTGGCAGGATCTAGTTGGGGATGATCTAGTTGGAGATGGATGGGATGATCTAGTTGGGGATGATCTAGTTGGACATGGCTGGGATAACCTAGTTGGGGATGATCTAGTTGGAGATGGCTGGCAGGATCTAGTTGGGATAATCTAGTTGGAGATGGATGGGATGATCTAGCTGGGGATGATTTAGTTGGACATGGCTGGGATAACCTAGTTGGGGATGATCTAGTTGGAGATGCCTGGCAGGATCTAGTTGGGGATGATCTAGTTGGAGATGGATGGGATGATCTAGTTGGGGATGGCCATGGGGATGATCTTGTTGGAGATAGCTGGGGTGATCTAACTGGGGATGACCTCGTTGGAGATGGCTGGGATGACCTAGTTGGGGACAGTCTAGTTGGAGATCTTTGGGATGATCTAGTTGAGGATGATCTAGCTGGAGATGGCTGGGATGACCAATTTAGGGATGATCTGGTTGGAGATGGTTGGGATGATCTAGTTGGGAATGATCTAGTTGGAGATGGCTGAGATGACCTAGTTGTGGCTGATCCTGCTTGGAGCAGGGGGTTGGACTAGATGTGACCTCCTGAGCTCCCTTCTGACCCTCATTGTCTATGATGCTGTTATTCTATACAGGGCCAGGGCTGTGGCCTGGGCAGAACTAAATGTCAAATTCCCTATTGATCTGTGAGGGACGTGGGTCCTGTGCTTACACCTCTGTAACCAGCTTGGTGGCAAATATCACTGTCCACTTAGAAGCAGATGCAGGAAACATTCACTGAAAGCTACCTGGCCTACATTCACGGGGAGAGGGAGAGGTAGCAAGAAGGGGACAGGTAGAATTACAAACCACCATCAACAGAGAAAGAGAATTAACAGAAACACAGAGTTGGTGTTTTAATCAGGATCACATTATTATTAACACGCAGCAGATGTATTAAAATAATACTGTAATTACTATAGTTAATAACAACATCACTAATAGTGAAATGAATATATACAATTATTTAATAGGATAAATAATACAATCAATAGCATTAATAAAAGAAAATCAGTACAATTGTAACTATTATCATTCACAATAACAAGCAGTAATGCTAGGATGATGGTGGGCAATGGGTTGGTAATTAGATCACAAACCCTCCTAATAAGGTCTTCTGTATTTTTGCTATTTCTTTTGTATTAATCATGTATTTTTCACCATCGCAGCAAATAAATAATACTAATAAGTAAGACCTGGTAGCAATAAAGGTATTTTTAATAATGTTGATAATTATTCTAATGATCAGTGTTGGAAACCAGAGGTAGCCTGCTAATGAATTGACAGAATTAAGCTGGATGAAGAATAGGGGAAGGTAGCACTACCAATCATTTTAAAGGAGAGCAATGATGATCATTTGTAATAATAATTAATTTAAAAAAACCCATCACTAGACTAATTGTTAATGACTGGAATTCAACAGGATAAAAATAGGCCATTGTGAGGATGGAATGATGGGGGCAGGATGATTTTAATAATAAATAACAGCCAGGATAATAGTTAATAGATGGAATTGAGCATGGGAAAGCTTAGGGGATTATAATGATAACATAATTGTAATAATGATGGCCGTAATTTGAATAATTAATAATAAAAGAAGAGCTAAAGTAATTGTCAATAAATAGAGTGGAAAATAATTAGGCGCAATCCCCCTTTGCACTCTGTTCAGTCATTATATATCTATGAGTGTGTGTGTGTGTATATGTGTGTGTGTGTGTGTGTATATATAAATATATGTGTGTGTGTGTGTGTGTGTATATGTGCTTGTGCGTCTGTGTGTGTATATATGGGTGGGTGTGTATGTATATGTGTATATATGTATATGTATGTGTGTGCATGCGTATATGTGTGTGTACATGTGTGCGTGTGTATAAAGCCCAGAGAATCCATCTGAGGTCATGGCCCTGGACCAGAGCCATCCGGACCGAGACACAGCCCCTGCCCGACAGAGCAGGAAGGGAAACTGAGGCACAGAGGGTACCAACCCACGGCTTTGGCACTCAGCCCTACAATAACAAAGAGGCCTGCAGAGCCCATTCGGCACCTCTGAGGCATGGGAGCTTGATGGGCATTGCCGGGCCATGCATGCGCGCATGTGTACACGCGTGTGCCCTGTGTCCCGCCCCAGAGATGCCCACTTGGGGCCGGAGGGGTCTCGGCCCGCAGGATGGCATCGGTGGCCGTAACGAGGGGGCTCGCCTCAGCCCACCCCCGCTTTTGTGTGTCTCCCCCAGGTTTGATCATTCACGAGGGCTCCTCGGTGTATCGAATATTCAAGCGCTGGCAGGCGGTGAACCAGCAGTGGAAGGTGCTGAACTATGACAAGGCCAAGGACCTTGGGGAGCCCGCGGGCGGAACGGCCAAGGCCGGGGGCAGGCTGGCACGGACGGAGAGGAACCCCCGGAGGGGCCAGCGGGTTAGGACGATCTTGAACCATCACTGTGGCTACACCATCCTGCACATCCTCAGCCACCTGCGGCCCAGCGAGCACCGCGGCAGCTCCGGCGCCGGCCGCGAGGTGGTCATGAGAGTCACGACGGTATAACCGGCCGCGCACGGAGGGCAGGGAGCCCGCCGCCTCCTCCCCGCGCCCGGAGAGGGCACCCCGCAGCTGCCTGTGGAAGGGAAGCCCCAGAGAGCAATTCGGGGCTGGGCCACACGCGGGATATTTTGTTTTCGAGGCTCTCGCCTTGCTCTCGTGCCCCCCGTCCGGGGGGGCGCTGCGGCCTGGCCTGCTCTCAGCCTGCGCCCTCCTCAGCTCCCGTCAATGTGAAAATTCCTCTTTGGAGGAAGGAAAACCACAGCGTCGCCTTCCACCGGCTCCAGACGACAATCCAGGCCTCCGGCCGGGGCAGCATTCGCCTGCCTGAGTCTGGAAACCAGGGGCCAGAAAGGAACATTTTTACCTCATCTTTGAAAGAAAAATCCAATCAAAAAGGAAAAAAAAAAAAAGGTCCCTATTCCCCCCGGTCCCAGCCCAGCCTGACGCGAGTCCCCACCCTGGGGACGCCCCGGGAAAGGTTTGGATTTCCCCGTCCCAACAAGGTGCAATAAACAGGTTTCTACAACAAAGTGGGATCTCGCAATAAGAGCCCTGTACATCTCTCATCTGATGCATGAAAACTCTTCCCCCTTTTCTCCTCTCCCCCTTCCCTTCCCTCCTGGTGTGGGAAGATAAAGGATCATTTATATGCAAACAGTTGTCTCCCAACCCATCTCTCTCTTTCTCTCTCTCTTTCTCCCTCTCTCTTTCTTGAAATCCTTAATCCTGCCGGATGGGAATTCTTCAGCCGCTGGCGCAGGGACTCGTGCCCACGGATGTGTCTTCCCACCTCTTTCCTTATAAGCCGCATCCTGCTTGATTGCCGTGCCACCTCTTTGGTGCTGGGGTGCAAGGCGCTGTACAGATGCAGAGGCAATCCCACGGGGATGGGAGCCTGCCTCCAGATAGTCTTGCGTTTGCGGCTTGAAAGCAGGGCTGTGGCTGGAGAGGGGAAGGGGATATGTTGGGTAGAGAAGGGGGTGCTGCTTTGCAGCCCGAAGGGGATGAGAGCCCCGTGGCATTGGGAGGCTACATGCAGCCCAGCCTGGGAAGTGTGGCAATGTGGGGGGGTGCATATGAACACCCTACGGCCTGGACTCGCAATGTCTTGACACTGGGGCAATTCCCAGTGGTTTTGCAGCCCAGCTCTTTGCAGGGAGACGCTGTTCCCATGCTGGGCCACTGGGTGTCAGGAGAACCCTGGGCACCCATTTCCCTGCTAGCCCAGCAGAGGCAGCTAACCCCAGGGTGACTTTTGCTTTACCCTGGGTAATCCCATAGTAACTCCCTTGGAGTCCAGTAAGTCTGGTGGAAGGCACTGGGCTCTGTGTCCTCTCCTTGTCTTGTCAGGTGTGTCCAGGCCCTTGTGTGTGTGGGTTTTGGGTGGGGGGGACTGAGCTGATCTCTCCGGGGAACATCACAGACAGGGTTGGGGGGTTGTGGACTCTCCATCCTTGGAGGTTTTGAGGACCCAACTAGACAAAGCCTTGACTGGGATGATGTAGTTGGGGCTGGTCCTGCTTGGAGCAGGAGGTTGGACTAGATGTGACCTCCTGAGGTCCCTTCCAACCCTCATTTTCTTTGATTTATATGTGCAGGCAGTGAAGCTGCAGTGACTGTCTTCCCTTTGCGTGCTTTGAATTCTCTTCATCCTTCCATGACCAGGAGGGGCCTCTGGTACCCGCTGGCTTGGAGGCGCCTGGGTTTTAGGTGCATTAGGGCCTGGTTTGGATGAAGAGGGGAGAGAGTGGAGGCAGAAGCAGAGGGGTTGCGACCCAGCGCAGAAGCCAGAGGGATGAATGGGAGGCTGCAGAGCTGCACTGAAGCCCCAGAGCTTGAGGCAGCTGGCTATGGAGAAGCAGATTTAGATGCTGCTGCTCTGTGGGGGTAGAGGCCTTGGCTCCTAGGAGCATCTCGGAGGCTGCAGATGCTGGGAGCATGGTGGATCCTGGCATATGATCCCAACCCAGGGCTCTGCAGCCGCCCTGAGTCAGTGCTGAGGACCCAGCAGGGGTGGCAGTGGCCTGGTGCCCGTGGTTAGGGGCAGCTCCACCTCGTCACTGCTGCTGAAATGTGCCCCCCAAACCTGCATCTTTTCCCCCAAAAATATTTCAGGCAGAGGCTCATTGCCAGGCATCAGACTCCAAGGTGACTGGCTGCTTGGTGGGGGCCAAGCAGGGCCAAGACATCACCTGGCAGCCGACTCTGCCACCAGGGATCTGCATGCCTTTGCTCATGGGGTGCCCCTCTTCTCTCTGTGCCAGGCCAGCTTGGCTGCTAAAGGGTGCTGCCAGATGTGGCCCGCGCCGCTGGGACCTGACAGCAAGGGTGGCCATGGCGGCAGAGCCCCATGGCAGAGATGTGGGGGGATATGGGGATGGGTGGACAGACAGACCCCAAGCCCCTTTCTCCAGCTGTAGCCTGACCTGTGCAGCTGCAGCCTCCAGCTGCCCCCGTGTGAACGGGAGTTGGCGGGGGGGGCGCACACACACATCATTTCCACCCCCTCCGCACATACACACACATATGATCTGCTTCCTTGGCCATGTCATAATCCCATGCTTGTGACCTCACAGCCTGTTGCCAGGGAGACAGCAGTGAGGCAGAATGACATCACTGCCAGGCAAAGAGGATGGCTCAGGAGGCAGCAGGAGTGAGAGGGCTCAGGGCCAGGGCCAGAGCACTGGAGCAAGGGGCCGTGGCCACAGGGCTGAGGCTGGCTGGTTGAAGCTGACCGTGGAAGGCGATGGGGGGATCACTCTGGTCCTAAGATGCTTTCAAGCCCAGCCCTTCTCCAGGGAGCTGTAGGAATCCGCCAGGGCCAAATGCAGCCGGGGCTTGCAACAGCATCTCTGGGGCTGGGAGCCCCGCCAGGGGCAGCAGTGGCTCAGACCGGGGCATGGGCCTGTGGAGGATGCTATATGGGGTGAGAACTGCGTGTGCAGGAATGAGTGTACAAAGGCAACACAAGCACTTGCCTGGGGGTGGGGGAGAAGGGACATGGGCCCCTGCTTTGTGTGCCACCCCCTCCCCTGCTGGGGACCAGTCTTCTCCCTGCCTGGGCAGGACATGTGCCAGCTCCATGTCTCACCCCAGGCTTTCCCATCTCTTCCATCTCAGTGCTCCCCTGGCCCCTTACCCAGCCGCAGGCCCCTGGGGGCAGGGAACCTTGGGCAGCTGAACTGGTGCCAGGTCGTGGGTCCTCCCAGCATGGACAGCTACAGCTTGCCAGCTCCTGCAGAAGGCAGGCAGGTCCCCGGGATGCCCGCAGGGGGGCGATGCAGCATGCACTTGCTGGCGTCAGCACAGGCCTGGCTTCAGGGGGGTGGTCCAGGCTAAGGGTCATACCCAAGGAGCTAGGACAGGCTGTGGGCCTGTTCTGGGGGGTCAAGTCCCTGTGACTTCGTCTACTTCCACTGGGGATATGGGGCTGCATTTGCTGCGCCTGCTTCTGGGGTGGAACATGGACCTGCTCAGCCTCTGAATCCAGCCGTTGCAGCCTGCTCGGGCGGTGCGGGGTGGAAACCGGGTCTCTGTGTTAAACTGAGGGAGGTTCAGAGGCTGGATCGGAGCCGAGATGAGAACACAGCGCCCGGGGGGGTTTGGAGGATTCGTCACCCAGGAAGTACGCAGTGCGGGGGCAGGGTGGGCTAGTGGGTAGGGCAGCCAGTCAGGAACTCTAAGCCTTGCCACTGACATGCCATCTGACTGCGGGCAAGTCACTTCACCTCCCAGCCTCGATTCCCGTTTCTCGTCCTACTTCTGCCTTCCCGGCTCCATCAGGCCCCGATCCAAGGTATAGCCTGGAGGCACCCGTAAGGGATCAAACCCATCCCCCCCCCGCCCCCTTACCCCACCCTGGCTCTTCCCACCCCCACCACACAGACACAGGCCCAGCTCAGGCTTAAAAAAAAACATTTATTATGCAGACAATAATAAATACAGTGTTTAAATAGCAAAGCACCCATGGCAGCGCCGGGCTGACAGGCCCGAGTTGCAGAGATTCAGGCTCTCAGGTTCCAGCTTCTGCCCAGGGCGCGTTGATAAATACAGGCTATAAAAATAATAAATAATGGCCCGGTGCTTTCAATAGCATCGTTTGGCATTAACGACCCTGCGTGTTTAGACACATATGTGCCTCTTGCAAACGGCTGTCTGGCCTCCCCTGATTGATACCTCCTGGGGAATTGGCCCCGAGTTGCTGATTGTCGCGGCTTTCCTCACTGGTGGATCTTTGTGGCTGGACAGGGATTTGAACTGGCAGAGGGAGGGGGCTGGGCTGGGCTCGGCGCCCTCCAGGACTGGCTCCTTGGGGGACCTTTGCTTCTGAGGATGTCCGTCAGTCTCAGAGGACGTGGAGGCGTTCCAATCTGGGGGGTGTCACTTGGAAAAAGCAGGTCTATGGGTCCTTCCCCTGCTCCGATTGCCACCCACAAGCACCCCTGTCCTTGGCCTCTCTCAGACAGGCTCCATCAGCGGCTCAGGAACTGCAGGTTGATGTCCTTCTCAGGCACCAGCAGGGTGCGAGTCATGGGCTTTACCGGGCAGTCGGCCGGCTCTGGCCGGACATCGAAGTGCGTGAGGATCTGCAAGGAGATGGATGGAAGGGCTCAGCACCATAAGAAGCTCCACACCGGGTCAGCCCAAGCCCAGACTGTGGCTTCCTTGTGAAGAAGTCACAGGCATTTGCCCCCCAAAACAGGCCCCCAGCCTGTCCTAGCCCCTTGGGCATGACCCTTGGCTTGGACCCCCGCAGCCAGGCCTGTGCTGACCTCGCCCTGCCATCCCCTCCTCATTGGCACAGAGCTGGCAGAGGAGACATCCCGGTCCCTGCCCGTTTATGGATCCACCCCGCATGAGTCTGTCCAGTCCCTCACTGCCCCGGGCCGTACTCAGTTCCCTCTTCCCTTTGCCCACATGTTGTGTGGCATTATAGCCCTCTAGCACCCCCCCAACACCCGACCCCAAGGCTTTTCTGGTCTCTCCAGGTCTGGATGCATCTCCAGCCCCCTGATCAGGTTGCTTTGGACCTTCCCTAGTTCTACTACAACCAGGAAGTTTAACAAGACTTGAGGCTGTGTGCCCTGAATCCATGCCCCCCCCCCAACCAACAACAGCACCTAGCTATAGAGAGGCAGGATCGAGCCTGGCAGGGAAAGACATGCCCCACCCTTCCCTGCCTGCCATTGCCATCAGCTGTGTGTTGCCCCACGGACCCCACACTCACCCGAGCCAGAGCCAAGTGCACCTCGAGCTCAGCGATGCGCCGCCCCACGCAGCTGCGCTTGCCGAAGCCGAAGGGCAGGGAGGCATAAGGGTGGTGGGCTGCATCCCGCTGCAGCCAGCGCTCGGGCCGGAAGGTGTTGGGCTCAGGGAAGAACCGCTCGTCCCGTGACGTGGCATAGTGGCACAACGTGATCAGGGTCTGCCGGGAGGGAGGGGTGTGCCCGTGAGATCCTGGTGTGGTCGGGGCAGGGCACCACTGGGTATAGGTAGGGACAGGGTGGTGGGGATGCCCCCCACTACTGCTATTGCCGTCCTATCCCAGCCCTGGGGACAGGGCACAGCCAGACCCCAGCTCCCCACACCCAGCATGGCA